CGGGACCGGCAACTGCGCTGGATACTGCAATCACTCCCTTCAGCGAGGAAGAGCTAAAAAACGCGGTGCAATGAAGAAAGAAAAACAAAGCCCCTGGACCAGATGGCATTACTATTGGAATTCTTGCAGAGTGCGTAAACAGCAACCCATTGTTATACCCAAACATGTACAACCAATGTTTAAAGAATGAAATCTTTTCTTCCCAGAAATCTGGAAAATATCCAGACTAGGACTGATTGAAAAACCCAAGAAACGGCCAAACGACGAAGACATACAGGCCTTTATGTCTAATAGATGACGCGGGCAAAATTCTGGCATCGCTTCTCAAGAACAGAATCACTGAGGAAATGCAACAAAAAAAACTTATAACATCCGAACCAATACGGGTTTACTAAGGGCAAAACAACCACAGATGCGATTCAAAAAATCTCAGAGATAGCAAGCAAATGCAAAGAAAAAAGCTACAAGAACCGCGACATATGCCTAATGATTCTATTAGACATAAAAAAATGCTTTTAATTCAGCACCTCGAGTTGAATTATAGATGCAATAGAGAAGGACGGATTCTCGCTCTACCCAGTCAACATAATTAAATCCCACCTGAATAGCAGATTCATTATAAGCCCAAATGGAGACAAAATCCAAACCACGTGCGGAGTGCCACAGGGAGTCATTCTTGGCTAGACCCTGCGGAATATCTTTAATCAGTCGATTGTGCTGTTAAGTGTGTGTGCAAGCCAAGCCGCTGCAAGAGCTAAACAAATGCAATTGTGTTCAGTGCTAACATAACATGTTTGCTCTGTTTCAGGAGCATCGTGCAACCTGTTGGGTATTTTTTTAATACCGTTTAAATTCGGCAATGGCGCCGAATACAGCGCTGTAGAAGAGGCTCCTGCAGCAAAATGAGCGGCAAAGGAGGCAGACTGCCGAGCTTCTGGCTGAAGTCCAGAAGCTCACGCAGCTGCTTACGGCGCACCTCAGCCTGCGGGAGTAGCGACTGCCGCACCAAAGGGGGCTCCGGCCAGCTTTAGTGACGCAGTGAAAGTGGCCCCAAACCAGCAGGGGCCCAAGAAGAAAGCAACAGCGGCTCCCAAAGCCGCTGCTGCCAAAAAGACAGTGATCCCCACTGCAGGGCCATCCGGCTTGGCTCCAACTACGGCTCACCTGACAACTGCTCTGCAGGAAAACAGGAGACGTAGGAGAGGAGCCGGACGACCTGGCAACGCTGGAGGAGGCAACAGGGATGGAGACAGACATCCCAGTGGCTATCAGAAGGGCGGAAAAAATTCCGCCAATAAACGTTGAGGCCCAGAGCTGGAAGCAGCTCAGTAAGGCCCTCAACGAGGCAGGCATTGCCGTGGATAAAGCCACGACAACAAAAAAGGGCATTAGTTTATTAATGAAGTCTTCTGCGGATTTCAGGGCCACAACGAAGCTCCTGGAAAGCCTCCAGCGGTCGTACTACACGTACACGCTACCGGAGAACAAGAAGCTAAACGTGGTCTTTACGGGGCTGCCTAATGACTACGAAGCTGCGAAAATTGAAACGGAACTACGGGAGCAAGGCATCCGGGATGCGGAAGCCTTCCAGATGATTAGCCGATGCACGAAGCAGCGATTGGCGCTGATCTTGGTAAAGACCACCAACAAGGACATCTGGAAACTATCCAGATTGTTCAGTATAATGGTAAAAATAGAGGTCAAACGTAAGTCGCAGGAACCAGGGCAGTGTTATAGGTGGCTACGGCCACTCGCAGCGCAATTGCACCTACCAGGCACGCTGTGTGAAATGTCGTGAAAACCACAGAAGCAGTGAGTGCACACTGCCCAAGCCTGCAGAAGGTAAAGAGCGCAACAGTGAGTGTGCGCTCTGTGGTACTGCGGGACATCCAGCCAGCCGGCGGGGTTGCCCAAAGCACCCAAAAAAGACAATCCCGGTAGTCTGAAAGGAAACCAGGAAGCAGCCTAAGCCGGCAGCAGCCCACCAGCTGGACACCTTGGACCAGCAGGAACTGGCAGGCATTTTGCGGGCAATCCTGGAAAAACTCCATGGCTAAAAAGCCATCGAGTTTTACAGTGGCCTCGTGGAATGTCAACGGGCTGCTATGTCGACGTCCGGAACTGGACGTATTCCTGCAGA